AGGACTCTTGTATGTGATAATAGAGATCCACCGCAAGCTGACGGAGAAGGAAGACCTATGACGTCGATCAGTAGACCTGCCAGGTATGGGTGTGATCGAACCGGTGCGATAGCTCCTCCGACGATGCGCGACAATGGACCGATTAAACGTTCAGAATGCTTTATTCTCCGCGCATCTTCCATTCCCGATTCCAGACTCCATTTAGAAACGTTTTCTTGCCATGTCGCCAGAGACCACGTGACATTAGCTAAGAGACAAGTCAACAACAGAAATGATTTCATTTTGAGTTTGTATTGTGCAGGTGTTAATTAAAGTTTAGCTTTATATATAAAAAGTATAAGTTTTATCTTTAATCGTGACGTCAGGTTTGTGGATTTATTTGATAAATCATTTTATAACCCTTAATTAAAATGGATTACCTTTAAGTACATATGAGCAAAAATTAAATGTTCACAAAAAATAATTATTTTGATTATTTCATATTTCTAATAGTTACAATTATTTGCATTGTTTCAAAAGTATATCGTATTTTAATCGTAAATAAATAAGTGTAGTTGACGGCGCTACTAACTTTTTTTATTCGTATGATTTAACAAGCATAAACATAACTGATTCACTAAAAACTATGTTATTACCTAAAAAAAATATTACTATACTAATCCTAGAAAGGATTAATATAGTTATACATTTTTTTAAAAAAGCATAAAATTTATCGCGTGACTGTACTTATAAAATCATTATTTATGGTCCAGCTTAGTTAAGATTAACAAATAATTTTGTAATTACGGGTTCATAACAATTCTCCTGATTTATCTTACAGATCGACCAACTTTTTAATCATTATCATTTTTGGATTTTTCAGAAATGCGTAGACAAATAATCCATTAACTGATTACTTTTGTTTCCTCAAATATTTTTATATTAATTATCGGACAATCAACTATAGAGTTGACACATACGTAGTCAAGTTCAAAACTTTTTTCATTGAAAATACAAAAATAATAGAAATAGAATGTACGCGTAGAAGATCAAAGTACGACACCATAAATAAAATAGATCTGTTTGGTATGAATTTTATCTCTTTCAAGAAAAATATCAAAATGGTTTATTATAAGCTTAAATCCTAAATACTTAATTAAAACTTAGAATAATACGTAGATTTATATTATAGATTCTGCATTATTTTACTTTGATTAAATTAAATGAAACTCAAACTGAAAACTAGTAATTAAATAAATACTAGCAAATCTTATGTACGCCAGTATAACTAATTGTCTGTAATATAAATGTGGTCCATCATCATCATCATCACCAGCTCACTATATGTCCCCACCGAGGGGCTCGGAGCCTACCCTAATATGGGGTGACTAGGCCATAGTCAACCACGCTGGCCAAGTGCGGGTCGGTTGACTTCACACATATCTTTGAATTTAATCACCGATATGTGCAGGTTGCATCACAATGTTTTCCTTCACCGTAAGAACGTCGGGTAAATTATGTACATATGAAAATTCGAAAAATCGGACATCACATTGGTACATGGCGGGATTCGAACCCAAGACCTGTAGATTACAAGTCAAGTGTTCAAGCCACTGAGCCACCGACACTCTTTAAATGTGGTTGTACTTAAATAAATCTATACTATATATATTATAAAGAGGAAAGATTTGTTTTTTTGTATTTCTGTATGTTTTGGAATAACTTAAAAACTACTGGTTCGGTTTTAAAAATTCTTTCACCGTTAGAAAGGTAATTTATCTGCAATTACTTACCTTTGCTTTTTTAATAAACTATATTTTTTTCAACGCGGACGAAGTCGCGAGCATCAGCTAGTAAATAAGTAGCGTACAATGAAATGGAGATGAGTTTAACTCAGTAGTGTCTTTTCTGAACGAACGATAGTTATATAATTATTATCCTAGTTTAGATTAAGTGAATACAATTTTGTTTCCATTTACGTGAACATGTGTTTTCAAATTTACCAGTAAACGATCTGAAATTGCATTTACACGGTGCACTCTTACGATATCGTCGCACGCTCTAACCCTTTCGAGCGTGTAATCTGCTCACAGATGGACAATTTAATTCAACTTTTCTGCTTTGTTTAACAGATACGGCTTTTATATTGCTTCACCTACATAAATACGTCATAAAAATAACTAACTAATTATTTATAGAATTAATTATCAATAAAATAAATCTTTGACCATTTTATTTATTGCACATAAATTAATATAACCATCCTTAAGATAATATAAAAAATCTTATTACAATTTTTACTCTACATTTGAAATCGGTTTAAAAAAACAAATGATTTATGATTAGGTATATGTGCTAGAAGTTTCTTCAAATCTGCAACCAAAGTACAAAAAACAACAACATCTAGATAAAGATTATAATTAATCTAAAGCAAATAAATCAAACATTTAACATTTATCTACTGATATAAATTACTACAGAGTCTGTAGTACATACTATGTTTATAAATATGTTACATAAATTCATTAACCACGAAACACCTTGAAATTAAAATTCAGAATCAAAAAAGCTTTAATTCCGTAGGTCTAACCTGATGTCAGTTAAGGGTATTTATGCGTTTTAACCAATTTTGAGTCGTATTTCCATTGGGCAAAGTCGAAAATTCAATAAATAAATATTTGTAATATTTAAAGTTATTTGAGATTCATATCACGACGGGCTCGCTTCGTGCATTGAAATCATATGCTAATGATTGTGTTTTGAAAGGTAGCGAGATGCTCATATTTCGTTAAAATGTTCATATATTCCTATTTGAGAGAGTACGTTATTTATAACCAGTTAACCAAACATTTTGGTCGTAAATCAAATTTAAAAGTTTTCAGTTTAATTAATTCAGACACTCTGTGTATGTTTTATGTTCATATTTTATGCAGTTCCTAATTGGTACTCGTGAAACACATACATGCAAAATGTAACAGTTACTTTACGTTATATTTAGTGTATTTTATTACATAAAAGATATTATTTTTAGTCATTCAAGTATATAAACGGTTAAAATGGACAACGAACTATTTGTATTTTCGATAATCTATACACATAATAATTGAGTGTCTGTTGATAATCCAAAATCCAAATCCAAAACTAAACCTGGTTTATCTACGCCAATGTATAAAGTAAATGATGACATTAATGACGTATTTATTTCGTAATCCTTTTGAAATGGATTAAAAAAGAATCGTTTTTAATCTTTTAATCTAACTTTATGATGTAAAAGACGTTTATTGAAAGATACAAACAAATTTGATACAATTGCACTCAGTATCCAATCCGGTAATAATAACGAAGTAACGACTCGTGGCGAGACTCCTGAGGTAGCCCTCGAGCCTAGTCACTCATAAACGAGGTTTAAGCTAAGCGCCATCTGCGCTCGGCCACCTCAAGCCCGGTGAATCTGTAAATGTCTCTTTAAGGCAAACAGTGGCCATTCAGTCACAAAAAAATGAACTCAGTATAAGACGAGTATTCTACGTAGACCTTTGTCCGGTCTTTGATTTTTTCAGACAGTTAATTATATTTGTAAACACTTGATAGACAGTTTGTAGTAATATACTTGTATATTACTGAATTGTAAATCTACAGCCAGCGTTATCCTTTGATTTCAACTAGCTTTTGCTTGCGACTTCGCCCGCGTGGAATCAAAATGTAATATAAAATATAGCCATGTTATTCACAGAAAAATTACCTTTCTAACGATGAAAGAATTATTAAAATCGGCCCAGTCGTTTTTATGTTATTTCAATACATACAAAAATACAAATCTTTCCTCTTTATAGTCTTAGTACAGACTGGTATAGAACTGTCTAACAAAACATTCGTAAACGTTCTCTTTGAATTGTTTGTTGCAATAAAATTGTAGATTTTTTCTTTCATAGAACCAAACCCTAGATCGTGACAGCTGCACAAAGTCATTGTTATCAATATAATATTAATTGCACATGTTTGCGTTGTATGTACGAAAATATATGACGTCACATTATTTGTGCAGTATCATCGGAACGCTAATGAGTCAGTCGACAATCAACTCGATATCCCACAAGCTAATTGTTGTTGGCATTTTGTATTTAAGCTTTCGTATCTACTCAAGTCAAACGATATGGATTATAAATTAAACATAGACATGTTTAAAATATGTACTAAATTAAGGGCCTGTCCCACCACTGGCTGATAGAGGCTCAGCTCAGCTCAGCTTAATAATGATGTTACTGTCAGATAAGGGAACAAAATCTGATGTTCCCATCTGTACTGTACGCTTGGGATGTCCGCTCCGTCGGTGGCTCGGATACGACTGACATGCTGGCATGACACCATGACACAAGTAAGCAGTGTGGCCATACATCACATATCTTACACGTTGGATTGTTATTAGACAATTTACAATTTGGTGTGACAGGCCCTTAAAAGCAAATAAATCTATTAAAACGGTTGTATTTTAATTTCTACTTATCGGTCAAGAATTGATTACAAATCCTTTCGATTTTCAATGTAAATTGACAGTTTAATGATTTGATAACCACATTAATACTGTAAATAATTACCGACTAGAGTACACTGAAATATCTTAGTTTATAGCTAAAATTGCCAAGTCAGATTAAAAGTTAACGAAGTAAGACATTTTTCAATAGTCTATCGTTATTAGAAAAGAGCTTACTTACGGAATACTGTTAATTGTTTAGCGGTGGACTCTTTAGTATAGATGGGCGTATCCATGGAGACTTCACAGGAGTAACTGCCACTTGCCGCAAAGTCTAAGTTCTGGAGGATTATTGAGTTATCAGTCGCCAACGCTATCTGGAAGTAAATAATAGGACAATATGTATTGTATTGCAGCAAATGAAAATAAAATCATTACGTTTGGAGTAAAAGGTTAGTATGGGCACGTTATTAGGAGGAATGAATCGCAATTAACAAGAAGAACGTTAGTTATGAAAGTGGAAGGGTACGCCAGTAGAGGTAGTCCTAGAACGAGATGGATGATTTGCGTGAAAGGTTACATGATCAAGAAGGGAGTGATGACTGAGATGACGTATGATACGAGTTATGTGGAGGACAAAACATGCTGCGCCGACTCTACGGGAGTACGTTGAAAAGGTAGATTATGATGTTTGGGCCTATTAATAAAGATATATCTTACTAGTATTTTATCTGTGGTTTTAAATATCTTTTTAAATTTGAAAAATGCAAAGACTGAAACAAGGAAAAGTCGGACTGAAATGAGGAAATTAGGGTTTTAGAATGAGTAATATGACTAGCTCATTGTGAAGCCTTGAGGTTATGTGGAAGCTGAAAGCTTATAGACGTGAGTGTTATCTTTACTACGTGACTGAGAATATCAGTACTTTAAGAACAATTCTCTGGGAATTTAAATTTTGTAAGGAACATAAATTTTTATGTATGTATGGCTTAGTATCTTTTATGTCATTATATCAACTTGTTTGAAAACAAAAACAATAATTATGAAAATAGAACTTTCACTTCGTTTTCCGCATACATTTTCGTATACTTTTATTTGACAAGATTGCATGGATAAGGCTTAATTTAAAAAAATGTTTTCAGTAAAGAAAAATAGGTAAATAGAGTTGTTCATAAAAAAATAAAACCTTACCTAACGAGAAATGGAATTTTTAATAACACGCGTATACATTACTGTTTCATAGAGACTGGCCACGCAATACAGTCTAATTGTGTTTGTAGGTAACAATAATATAAATTGGCACGTAGCGAATTGTTCCTACCTACTAGTGCTATGTGACCCGGGGCTGGGGTCGACCTGTTACGCCCTCCTGCAGTTAAATGAGCTATGTGCATGCAACGGAACGTACCAGCAAATTAATTTTAGTGCAACTTTGCATTTCTGTTTTGCCAGGAGCACACCTTCGTAATTGACACCGACATTTTAGCTGTTTACTAACCATTTAAGAAACAAATATTTAAATAATACTAGATATCAAGCCCTTGTAATAGTAGTAATAGTAGTAAGAAATAGTCATTGTTTACTAATTCGTTACCAAGTGATCAAGACAATTAAAATCTAAGTTCTAAATGCACATAAATCATTAGTACTAGGAAGTTAGAACTATTTTAATACATTTATCTATGTTAGTGATAAATTATATACCTACGTCTTTTATTATACATCGTATTTAGAGAAGCAAGTAGCAAAGTATGCATATTCATTGAAATATCATGGGTAAAGTTGTACTGAAATTAAATATTAAGTAAAGCTTTTACAGCGCGTTTTCCGTTGTAAATAGCTTGGTTATCCTACACGTAACTTCGACCCGGAAAATTAACTCGGCTCGGCTATTACACGGCTGGCATCCGTGTTTGTTGCCTTTTAAGGTGTTTGTATATCAAGTGAATTTGCGAAATTTCCTCCGCTCTTAAGCTGAATGATTACGACGTGTTTTTGTTGACACACACAAAGGGTATTTGCCTCTGTTTTCCGTGTACAGATAATATACTGTTTTAATAAGCACGCTTTTATTAATTCAAGTAAATAATTTAATCTAAAGTATACTTTTGCTTTTGTTTAATTGATTTTCATTGTGATTGTTAACTGACCAGTGGCGCCCAACCGTCTTACTTAAAATAGAGAAAAGTACTTTAAATTGACTACGAACCTTCGATAATTGGAAAGTTACTTCAAGAAGACTAACTAACTAAGATGACATACATATTTTGTTGTAAAAATGGGCAATATATCTACGGGTGCGGCGACATCGCCAAGGCTTTATGTGTAGTTGTATAGGCTTACATTTAGTACTGCTCCTGGGGTTGTGAAGTTTCTGTACGGTGGTTTCCTATCCTTGATGTACTGGAATATCTTTGTGCCGTGTCTCAAGAAGACGACCTTGTCAAGTAGATGCAATGGCACGTCGTGCATGCACCGTAACCGCACGGAACCTCCTCGTGCCGCCCATCGCTCCATCTGCAGTTCCACGCGGACTTCTGTGTGACCACGACCTGTGGATACAAAGTGAGGTTATAAAATAATATTCGGTTCAATGACATAAGTTGCCGGTGTTTGAATTGCATCTAATTATGAAGTTACTTTCAAAGGTTAGTATTAAAATTTCAGTAGCCATCTTTATTATCATCGTCACTACTTAATGTCTATGTGATATTTTTTGTGTGTTTGGCGGTGTTCTTAGTATACCTATCGAACGATCATAGACCAAGATAAGACCTAGATTCATGAAATGCTAAACGATATATGCTTCGGAATTTTATGTTCGATTTAGATGAGTTAGAACCCATCTTAAAGAATGTTTTATTGATCGTATACCATGCTGGTGAACGGTTTTATTTAGTTCTTCCTATAAATAACTTTAGATTTGCAGTTTTAAGGAATTAATATGCTAAAAATTTGTACTGCTGTAATGTTTTATTTCGTTGCTTATTGTTTAAGTCGGTGCTAGTCTGTAACTTCTCGACTCGTGGAGTAATTTTCTATCATTGCCAGTTGGTAAACAAACATAAAGAAAATTACTATGGGAAACAATTTTCTTTGTACTTATATTTTACTTCTATTACTTTGTATACTGCAGTGTCTGTAATTTGACTTCGAAGTTTATATCTAATTCTTTATTGACGTAGTCGGATTGAAAGTTATAAACTATGCACAGGTCAGTGTGCATTGGGTACATTTAAATGCATGAGAAATGCATGGCTAAGTTGCCATTCCGTTGTTATAAATGCAATGATTTTTTTATATGAAATTTAATACATTCGTGAATTTTCATTGCCAGAACAGAACTAGTAATACATAAAAACGTCATTAGGATTCGCTTTGAAAAATACCGGTAACACATTGTTTCACCTCTCTAATGACACAGTAATTGGAATACTTGGTATATTTACTTTCTTTTATTTATAGAACAAATATAATATTTCTTTTCTTTATAGAGATTAAGTTTAGAGATTATCTAATCGTTATTAAAAATAATTACGGCGTCTACATATTCAACTTTGTATGTGAAATAAACAGCACCTTAGTTTCCTATCTTGGACACGTTATCTTTCACGCTATCCATTCATTTTCGTAGCCTTTTGCTTACTACGAACAACTACGAATAAATTCTTCTACACAGATGTCATATCAGATGTAAATATTACGAATTAAAACATAGAAGCTCCTTTACACGTGTATCGTTCATGCATGATCGCTGGTACAGAATCCAAACGGAGCGAAGGTCCTACATAATTTACAATCCCCTATCCAGCCACGTACAAAGCGTTCCGCTTTCCCGCACCGAATCCCCGCATCACGACTGTACCTGAGCAAAGATATCTACACATTCCTGTTATATTTCATCTGCATAAAACAATAACTGCCTTTGTTATGTTGCATTGTAGTATTGTTAACGCTTTTAGAGTGTTAAATTGTATTATCTATTTCATTTACTACAAATTTAAGATACAGATAACCTAACTCATTGGAATAAGGTGTTTTTATCACCTAGTCCTTGCATACTTTAATAGTATTCCGTATAAAGGGTGATAAATACAATTTTTAATATGTTAAGACGTCAGCGATTGTCTTATCATTTTCGTCATCGGCCTTCGTCTGCCCACTGCTGGACAAAGGCTTCCAATGAGTTAACGGTTAATTTGCTTAACTTGTTTAATTTAAGCCCTTGACCATAATTCTAAGCTATTTTAATAACCTAATCTATGATGGACCATTAAATAGTATTGTACTTTCTATCGTAACAGTAAATTTTACGCACCATAACTGATACTGGTTAAGTAAAATCATCAAAATTAACGTTACCTTATCTTTGTTACACAATTTTAGGTACAATTCAAATTTTAAGAGGCTTATAAAGAAAATAATGAAACGTTATGATGCCGATTGCGACTCACAATGAGTTAATTTCGTGTCACACGGTCGTTCTTGTTAGAATAATAACCTCTACGACATGGTGTTTTACAAATTTACTTAATTAGCATTTAGTACTAAAAAGTTATACCGTCTAAATTACGTATAGGATTATTATTTTAATTACCTACACATTTATATTTAACAACGATTGTATGAGTACCAAAGCTTATAAAGTAAGCAGAGATGACGGATTCTACTTACACTATGTTCCCTATTTTGTGTATTTTTAACGGTAAAAAAACTACGTGTAATTAAACTTAATAAATCTAAGTTTAAATAAGTAAGTAAAAGATGCTTTGAAGTACTCGTAGCTTAAAGCAGATGTTGGTAGTTTTAAAATTTACAATTCATGTTGCACTGCATGGACGAGATACGAGTCGCGTGTTTTAAAATTTAAATTCAGATAAGATAAACAAGACTTACGGACTTTTTCCTTTAGCCTGGGTATATAAAAAGTTGGTTTTATTACACTTTACTATACATAGTAACTTGATAAACAGAGCAGTACAGTTGTGGAGTATAAATAATAACTGTAAATAGGTACTTATGATTTTTTAATACTATTCATCTTCATAATCATAATGTAAAGCAAGTAATGACTATATTTCGCTCATGCATTTCTATTTAAGTATCTTAATGGAGCGAAGTTTACAGAACTCCTCCATTTCCTTCATATAAAGTTGGTCTGGCGGTAGTTTAACAAGAGTTGGGTACGCTAAAGTATTCTATTATTAAAATTAAACTGAATACAGTAATAAAATAAAATGAGGTAAACTTTTCTATTTGAAAACTACACGAGAAACTGCAAATTATTGAACATTTGTATTTTTAGTACTATACTTGAATGATGTAAATATAAAAATAAATTTAAATTTCATTTAACCATTACAATGTAGATTATTGCAATGTACATTACATTACAATGTAGATGTCATCTAGAATATCGAAGCTAAAAACTGAGACGATTACTTCTTGAGTTATGTATGACCATTTGAATTTTAAAATGCGAAAGTTTAGATGGATGGATGGATGGACGGATGTTTGTTAGAGTTTGTGGCCTAAATGGCTGCACCGATTTCAATAAAATTTGGTTTAGATGTAGAGAATAGTCTGTAAGAACACATAGGCTACTCATTTTTTTTTAATTCCACGCGGACGGAGTTGTGGGCGAAAGCTAGTAATAAATAAATATTATAAAAATTTACACTTTGTATATCGTAAGGGTTAAGGTATAAGTTATCGATTCTCAGGGGAGTTTGGAGGCAGAACAAGATAGTGTTAGGACGACCGCCGGCAGCAAACATCTGTACGTAACTCGACCCTTTCGGGAACCTCATTTATAATGCACAGACCAATACACATTTGTTTGCCACTTCCTATTGAGCTTAGGGAAATCACAAATTAGTCGATTTTAAAAAAAAAGAAGTGTAAGTTTTTAATTTGTTCTATTGTGTACATTGTCACTTCGGTTTTTTTTTGTAAAATAAGCCCAACACTTCAAACGACACTGACTTGTACAAAATGTCGTGATTTATAACTTAATCTATAATTTTCTTCTTCAAAAAATGTGTAAAAAAACTGACTAACAATAATTATTCGTTGAATTATTAGTCATGATGAGATGAGTTTTATTTAGGTGAGAGCACATTCCCAGCTTATTTTCAATTACTTCGAGGTTTGCCTTCCACTTCAAACTACTTCATACCTAATGATAAACCTTTTTCGTTAATGAATTAACTTTTTTTATGGACTGCGAACAGAAAGATAAAGATAGGCGCAAGTGATTTAAAGACATATTGTATGTTTCTTTTTTATATTACAGTAACGTAGAAGACTTTGTTAAATTGTTAGTAGATGAACTCTTCAAGTGAAGTCTGCGAAGTGAAATTAGGTCACGATTTTTGCCATTTGTTGGTGCAGACGGGGGTTACTAAGTTCTCGCTTGTTATTCTTGCTACCACTTGTTGTAATGGCGGATTGTTATAGGTTTTTCTAGTACTTTAAAGACGTTATTGTTAAATTCTAAAATTTTTAAAGTAGAGTACTTCTCTTAAACTGTCCACTATAGTTTGTGTATGAAGTTCTCGAATATAATACATAGAATGCTGTATTTCCAAATAAAAAACCTAATTTTCACAAATAATATTCATCGAAATGTCCCATGTCTTTTTTCTTTTTATGATATAAAATAAGCTCGTAATAAGCCCGGAGTAAAGTTTCCAACTTGAATTATTTTTCTATAACTCGTTTGATAGCATTTTTGGCTTTCCAACTTTAAATTGAAATCCGTTCGTTAGAATAGTTTTCAACTTGTTTCAAAGCGTGCACTTGAAATTGAAAAACTCAAAGCTGACGGGAAAGGGATAAGCAAGGGAATGAGTTCTAACATATTTTTAATCTACAGTTAAAAATCATAGATCAGTGATCAGTTCCTTTATTTTCTGTAGTGGTTTCTGTCATAGATTATAGAAAAATAATCTATGAGTTTTTCGTTGTTTATGTTTCGTGTTTACAAGCAAGTTTTGAAGTTTTATGTTCCGTTAAAGTTTTATAGTAAAGCTGAAATTGTATTTTGGTACTATAAGTAATCATTATCACAATAAATAGTTTAGTTTTAATAGCATAAATTAGCTGAATAATCTAAAATACAATTATATAAAATGGGTAAGTAACGCTTTTAGATTTAAACTTTTGAAATTACGAGTTCCTAAACAAAATTAAAGAAACGCTTTTCAGACATAGAAGACCTTACATTAGAGGAAAAATGCGAAAATCTTATGAATGTGGTCGTCGAGTCTCGTAAAAGATTTAGCAAGATGTGTGTAGAATATGAACAAAAAAGTTCGATTATGGAAAACAAAATGCTCAATTTGCAATTGGAATCTTTATCTAAAGCAAGATTTAAGTCAAAACATACTGTTCCCAACTTGGATGTGGATAGTATGAAGAAAGAAGTCGATGATTTCACCAACGACATTCAAGAAAGACAACAGAGAATTGAAAAATTGTACAAAAGCTTGAGAAATACAGAACAAATAGTTCTACAACTTAAAGAAGATAAAATTGGTATGAAACTAAAGCAACCATTAACTGCTGAGTCTAGGATAACCATTACTAAAAGTCATAAATCAAAATAAAAGTGAGTTTATATAAATATATACTTGTCATATATACTAGCCACATTCACATCTTTATAACAATACTTAAGTTAACCCATTAGATAGTTTTCTTTATAGTGATCAAATAAATAATGTACTTTAAAAAGGTACCGAATGCTTGCAGTGATCAAATCTTGTCGGTATGTACTTTTGTATACCATGTTACAATGTTCTAAAGATATATTCTAGTTAATATAAGAAAATCTAAAAGCATACATGACGGAAGAAAAGTAATTACAGGCAATATCATACAAATTTAAATAGAATCTAAGTTTATGTAGATGGATGGTTGTTTGTTAGAGTTTGTAGTGTGGCTGAACAGATCTTGATAAAATTTGGCATAGACATAGAAGATAGTCTGGCAGAACACATAGTCAAATAATTTTTTTAATTCCATGTAGATGAAGTCGTGGGCGAAAGCCAGTACTTCATAATTATTAGATTATTTCAGTTAACTCGGTTTCAATTTGCATTTAAGTGGTTTGTGGTCTATGATGTTTGATGCACATTTTTAGACATTGTAATATATTTTAAATCTTTGTACAATACAAGAGTTCTAATTTTAATAGTTAAGGATCAAAAATACAAGTAATATATCTTGTATTTGGCTTTATATTGGAGTTGTAGTGCGATTCACATTGGCCTTGCAATATACTAAAACTAAATGAAAAAATAAAGTAAAGTAAAATAAAGTTATTTTAATACATGTATAGAGTAAGTATCTATATTATATTTTTGTATACTCATGCAATAAACTTACAGATTTTAATAATTGTATTTTTTTCCCTATAAAGTTTATTTTTGTATCCAAAAACATTGAAAATGCATTATTGAAAATGATTATGGGTTTCTTTGTGTAGAATACTGTGGGACTTGAATATTGGTTAATTGAATATTTTTTTATATTTAACTGTAAGGATAGACTTAACTAATATTTTTAATTACTAAAGTAGATTGTTTTTATTTTATAATTAAAGCATTAACTTCATGTATCTCATCATATAATGTAGATGTTTGCAAATTAAAATGGGACACGTAATTCATTCATATTCAAATGACAATAAACGGCGCGGAATAAGCGTCTATTTCCGCTCTCATTTTTATTTATAATCTGTATAAGCTTGCCGGGCTACTGTGCTGCCCTTAGAGATTATCTTAGTATTACATCATACTTAATTATGCTGTTTGCTGTGCACGGTTATTTAAATTTACTTCGTTGGTGTTGCGTAGCAATTAGATTTATGAAAAATTATCCAACATTTTTTTTTTCATCTTATTTAAAAAAATCCTAATATGTTTATCAGCTAATAACCAGCCATACTGTTTAACAAATTTTGTAACTATATTCTGGATTAACCATATTGGTGACTCTTTTATTTCGATTTCAACCGATATTCAGTTTGTTTCGTACAAATACTAATATCAAATACTAAATTTTAGACGGATGGATGGATGTTAGAGTTTGTAGCCTTAACGGTACGACGGATTTCGATGAAATTTGTTATTTTTTTATATAACAAGGAGGCAAACGAGCAAGCAGCCACCCGAATCCGCCAAAATGGCGAAGCGACCGCTGCCCATAGACATCCGCAATTGCAGATGTGTTGCCTACCCTTATCCGACGGAGGAGGAGACGCACATAAAGAGGATATTTCCCCTTCCTATGCATCTCCTCCACTGTCAAATCCACTTCCCCTCCCCATCCTCTCTTTGTGAGAAAAGGGTGGTACGGGACTTAAATTAGGCCTCCGGCACCACACTCATCAGACGAAACACGGTATTTCTTCCACTTCACGCATGTCTTCTGTGTGGTCGTGGTATTACACCGTGCTAAGATTCGTGCTAAAATGTTAAAGCGGGCACTACCACTGTCAGTCTGGAACAACACATAGGATACTCACGTTTTTTTTAATTCCACGTGGATGGAGTCGCGGGTGAAAACTAGTTTAGTTAATAAGAGGCAACGTTATATATCTCAATTATTCAAACAGCATGTCTTTGAATCTCTATCAAAACGGTCTCCGCAAATATCTGATTTATCGAGCGCTTGCTAAATTTGTCCATTGGGACGAATGAAGGAGCTTATCGCATAAGATTTGAATACGATTGCATTTTGCATACAGTTTCAGAGGCTACTGTGATTTATAACATATGTATATATATCGCAATAAATACAGAAATAGTTCAACGTAATTAATGTAAATGACGCTTTTAGGCGTTATAAATATTTCTGAAGCGATTATGTTTAAAACGCTTTTTTTAACATACTAGCTGTTGCCCACGACTTCGTTTGCGTGGTATTAGAACTAAGACGAACTATGTAAATAAGAAAAAACTAGTCCTAGTAGTCTAGTCCCTTAGGAACCGGACATTTTTCGGGGATGAACTTTATCTCATGTGTAGTCCAGACTTTGTTTTATATCTGTGACCAATTTCAATAAGATATGTTGAACCGTTGCAGAATTATTGAGAAAACATTAAAATACAAAATTAATGCATTCCACGGGAATCGTAATTCTTTCCGGGATAAAAAGTAGCCTATGTGTGTTTCCAGACTATACACTACATCTGTGCCGAATTTCATGAAGATCTGTTCAGCCGTTTAGGCTACAAACTCTAACAAACATCCATCTGTCCATCCATCTAAACTTTCGCATTTATAATATTAGTATGACTAATGTTTGCTTATTACGATACCATACATATTAAGGTATTGATTAATGTTAAATCTTTAGAAAATTTATATTTAATACTGTTAGTAACATACATTAGAGGTTTAACTTGAAAACTCCTGTTAACTTACTCAATGCACGGGCTTAAAGCAAGTTATAGTTAGAAACCTCTGAAGTTTGTATAATAGAAGTTCGAGAATAGTACTCTGTATAACAAAAGCTAATAAATTAATTAATTGCATGTTTAATAAATATGTGATTTTATATTGAAATAGGCTAAAAGAAACACAAACTTATTTAACTTTTTTTGTCCATGATAAAAAATTATCTTTATAAAATTACTTTAAAGTTATTATCCTACTTATCTTACTAATATTTAAATTCGAAAGTTTAGATGGATGGACAGATGGATGTTTGTTAGAGTTTGTAGCCTAAACGGTTGAACAGATTTCGATGTAATTTGGCGTAGATGTAGAATATAGTCTGGGAGAACACAAAAGCTGCACACAATAGTTTTTTATTTCGAGTCGCCGGTAAAAGCTAGTATTTTATAAATAGATTGAAAAGTATGTTATTCTGTAATAGTTGTTTATTGTATTACAACCCATGTTTACCTTAAAGTTCTCCGTCTTTCAATTAATTTACAGAATTAGAAACAAAACTTACCATAAATTTATGTAAGATTCACCTGTATCCTTTATGAATGGGCTTTCCTTTATCGTGGACCTTTATCTAAATTTTAATTGCACGAAGAAACTTAACTACGAAACTTCGCCTAACTTTCTCAAAATTAAATTCTAATTGACGTTCCCTGTACAATGTTTCATAGTTATGAAGTTAATACAAGTCTTTATAAATAGCGCAGAGGGATTAGTCGTCTATTTTCATGAACGTTAGAGTAACGCATTATAACATACTAGCTTTAGCCCGCGACACCGTGCGCATGTAATTAAAAAAAAACCAAAAGAGTATGTGTTCTTCCAGACTATCCTCTACATCTATGCTAAATTTCATCGAGATCTGTTCAGCCATTTATGCTACAAACTCTGATAAGGATCCATCCATCCATCCGTCTAAACTTTCGCTTTTATAATCACTTTCTCGTCATTGTAAATGAGGGAGATGACAATGTATTTTTTATATGTGTTTTAACAGTGGAATACCACAGTTCTGCCATAAGTCCAGTCCATTTTGAGATTCGCAGTCACGGAATGACTGATAAAGGGACTTACTACTGCGCTGTCAGACTCAGCTTGATGGATGGATGTACAATTATATTACGACCTGGCTATAAGTTTTGTTTAATGAAAAAAATATTAATGATAAGGATATATTATTTTACATTATAATTAGAAAGTACATAAAAGGTAAACATGGGATTCGCCAGCGAATGATTTAGGTTGGGCCTTAGGGAGGCATTCTTATTAATATGGTCTTATAGCTTTCATGTTTATTTACATTTTTAAAGTCTTTAGCGGAGCAGCTGCCCTCCCCCCCTTCGCTCCTTGCGACGCACATTGGTTTAAAAATATTTTTAAAACTATTTAGTAATTTTGAGTTCCAAACAATAATTCTTGATAGGAATATAAAATAAACAATTACCACAGAAGTAAACGTTTCGCTTTATTAGTATTTTGATAAAAGAACGTATAAAATCAAACATTTTAAAAGCAATCGTAAGAAGGGACAACGACAACGTATAAAGTCGCTGTCGTCTCAAAATGTTCCGCATCCAGTAAAGCAACATTGCGGCCAATAAAATTGTAACTTTTATTGTCTTGAGGGATTACTCACTTTTCTCTTCACTTTGTTTTAAGACAATAGTCAAGGATTCCATGTAAAATAAATTAAATTGCTGTACACGTACCTTTATACATTACATTATTAGAAGACACAGGTAATAATTTTATGCATTTTAATCTTGGTTTATATCGATGATGTAAAATACATACCTAATATAAATAAAACACCCAGAGAACTTGTGGAAAGTAAGGAATTTGCTTCAATGTTTTGGGCAGTGTCAACGCAATTTTGTAACTCAATATTAAAATTATTCATGCCCGCGTTAATCTTTGAATAATTAGACAACCGTCTTATGACGAATTATTTAAGATACAGGAAACAGGATTAAGTAAACGCTTCGTGAAATACAGGATGAAATATGTTAAATTGCATAAATAAAATTGTAGACATTAACAGCTGTGTTGGTAAGCTTTTTTGTAACTTTTACGTAACAATAACTTAACTTTTTTCTCACAAACACCACTTGTAATGTTAATGAAAAATGTTTTATTTATTATTCTTTATGAAACAGGAAACAAAACAACGAAACGACGAAACGTACTTCGTGCATAATCCAATTTAAAAGTTTCCTCGTGAGTGTCGTATTGTAAGTCATTACACGTCCATGTAATAAATATAGGTCAAGTTTGTAGCGAATAACAATCCGGATAGCTAGCGAAAAAGTTTTTAATTATGAAATATCTAAACACATTTAATTTGGCCAAGAACAACATACATTGCAAATAAAAGTGGAAACCGAGCCTTTCACATTGTCCAAACACCGATAAATTTATTCAAACTTTGATTTTAATAAGATTTTTTTATCATCGTATATGGCTTTGAAGACTGGAGTGCTTTTTTCGGTAGATA